AATAGTCAGTCACTTTGTGTTTTCACCGATTGTTATACAGCCATATTGGACAAAGCATTGGTGAGTAGTTCAACCCCTATTGGATCTAATCGGCACCACATGTACTTGGGTTCGCACCATGACGACGCGAATTCATGATGAAACACCCCAGTATTCAGTCCGCTAGGTCACCAAGGCACAGTAGCTGAGCTCGAAGAAATGTATTAAACTTTGTCAACTTTATTCCCGATCTCTTGTACTTGAGACGACAGCAACCGATTCCATGGTTCGAACCCAAGCGTAGACTGTGCTGATAAGTCGCAGAAACTAGGACACAGTTTTTTTCCAATTAGGATGGTTATGGCTTGTGGGAAGTCTAGATTGTTTTATTTTAATCAAACTTTTATGATACAAGATTGTACACCCAACAGCTCCACAAAGTGACATTGAATGTTTTCTTACATACGAAGAAATAGATTATCCTGGGGTGGAAATAAAGTAGAAAAAAATTCAACCAACCCTCTTCATGTATAGTTCCATCTATATAACACAGATCTCGTCATAGGGTGGAATGACCTCCAGTACCAAGTTGGTACGGATCGATCAGTTGATATTGATCCATCTGTCGAGGGATAACGAAGAAAATATTAGTTAAAGGTTTAGCCAGCTTTCCAAAACGAAGGCGTCAACAATAAACACCGAAGGTTTTATTGTGTTCACCTAATCTCCTAGCCGATCACTTATCACAAGGATTATGATCGTCAGACTTCTTAGATCAAGAGTGAAAGGCGAGTACCAAAGAGACCGTTTCGGGGAAGTTTTGTACGCAATCCATTTGGATCTAACAAACCTCTCTGAAACATTGACTACCCAGTGGATTCCAAACACCTTCCAATTGATTGGAGACTGATGTGATGTTCGGAATTTCTGGCATAAAATGAAATGGGTGAACGAGTATACTCTTACAAATACATTCATTTGCATATCAATTTGGTTTTCCATGAGTCCCCACTGAGTCTCAACTAAATGTGGTGCTCAAAGGGCACCTAATGAACACTATAAACGAGAGATTCAGCAGAAATGCAGGTGAGTGTCCGTGAAGGACATATCGGTGTTCATATGAATACATGTGGCGAACTTTGTGCAATCTGGGTTCAGTTAGAACGGGAACTAGGAGACTACGCCCATCTGATGAGGCCCAAGAAGGGTGAAATCGGTCATGCGTTGTCGAACAGCTTTCAGCACTACTGTAAGCAGTCTCCTTCATAAAGAACACTGGCTTGACCTTCAAAAGTTCTAATTTAAACTGGATCTGTAAGAAACGGACGAACGTTGGCGGAGTGACGAAAAATCGAGGTCACTCTCAGGCTTGCTCAGCTGGTTATGACGTGCTATTGGAAATTCAAAATTCAAAAATGAAGGTTGGGTGGTTAGACGCTCCACAGTCTCGGTCAAGAGGATCAGAGCAGACGCGGCACCACAGTCCAGTTCTTCTGAACTCGGGGTTTACTAAGTTACCATTATGGCCTCAAAAACTCCAAAAGTTCAGTGGTCTGTTTTCAATGTAAGAGTTGATATCAGTGATGTGATTTGAATGAACAGGAGAGCGAAGAAGTTGATTTGCGATCGATTACACTATCCTTATTCCAGTTGCTCCGTCCTATCTTCTGCATGTGTCTCAAGCGCTGATAGTAAGTGAGACGTACGAATCATCAATCGAGATTTCGTCCTTTAAGTGGTCTCAATCTATGCTGTTACCTCCTCGGCAACTGCAGATGATTAAATAAACACAAGTTGATTATGTCAACGCTTCTAGAGATGTTTTGGTCAACAGAAACGCTTGCGACAGTAATCTCGACTGTGGCGCGTTCGATTGAAGGTGGTACGTGCGGTTCTATGGATCTACCTGATTATGACGCCCCTCTGACGTGTCAGCGGGAGAAAGATGTGCCTATCTTCTGCGGTTCACTTTGTTTCAACTGTAGAACGAAACGTGTTTTAGTGTAGAACGGACTTTTCATGGTAGCTGTTTGTGTCTTGTTAGTGTCCTGGTTCTTGGTGTCCTCGTGATTATCTGTGTTCCATGCTTCAACGCATCTGGCACACACATCCGTCTGGCCATGGTACTGTCCTATTTAGATAGGCTTACGACAGACTGAGTGGTTCGTTTTCTCATCTGGCTGTCTGGTGACCAAAGAGCGTTAGAACTGTATTTGTAATGTACTACTCATAAGGTCGCTGAAAATCCATCGACAGCCCACGACCGGTTTCGCCCTTCTTGGGGCTCATCAGGTAGGCGCAGTCCCCGGGTTTCCGTCAACCTTATGTTCTACTTGAAACTGTTTTGAATTCGCAATTGGCAAACAACTCGCCAAAATGTATTTCGTCCCACATAATGCCGAGGCGTACTAATTCCTACAAAAATCGATCAACAAACACATCGACATTGATCTATTCTATCGGCTGCTAACAGACAAAAGGATTACACCACACTGGCACTGGGAACCTCATAATAACCAACGCAATCAGTTGCCTCAAAGAAAAAAACTACTAGAAATAGGTTATCGAATCAACATATCGACCGCAGGCAGACCAGACCGCAAAGCAAGAAGGATATTGACCAATAATGACAGACGAACAGAACTGTCGAATTTGAGGCTTCCAACGAACCAACCAGAAACAAGGAGATGTGACCACAACTAAACTCAGTTTTCAAGCTCGCCAATCAAATTACACGAAAGCCATCTCGTAAAGAACCAGTTACTTCAGAGTCATTTACATTGTTTAGGAACTATCTAATCACAGGCAGAAGAGGCAGAATTTGCCCACCCTAACTCAACTGATGACGTCACCTCGACTGGCGATAAAAAACATCTACAATTTAGCTGCCAAGCTTGGCGAACAGACCAACAATGATGTACACGACGACGGATAGGTCGCTCAAGCAATGTATATGTGAGAACAGTTGGTCGACTTTCTGCACTGTTTCCCCTTCGACCTAATCAAGTCGGCAAATTTTGGAACTCTGTAGGCTACCAATCGATACACCATAGGCTTGTTGATATCTCAAGCCTCGGAAGTAAAATGCAACGTTTTTGTACACAATAAACTATAATCTTTTGACATTTGGTGGGCCGAAACCTACACAGACAGACATATTAACCATTTATTTGAGTAGAACACCAGGAGAAAGCAACTGGACATCAGTGGAGCACATTACATCATGATGTGGAATCAGCGGGGCACATTACATCATGATGTGGACGCGGCGAAGAAGAACGAGAACCCCTAAAGCCTGCTATGTGAGAATAAATAAGTTTCACGGGTTGATATTGTGATTCCGAGGTAAAATCATGCAGTTTTATAAGCCACTGTTTCTCTACAAACAACACATTATCCGGTTGGGTATTTCCCTTAATTCTACAGGCTTCCCAAAGGATACTCGTGCACCGTAATCCATTTTATTCAGCATCGCTTTTCAGGGGAATAATGTTGGAAGTTTGTTGTAAGTGTTGCAAGGCGTCTATGTGAACACACGTTTGATACACTGAAGAGACAAGCTAACAGCTGAGATCTACCCTTCTGCATCGGGAGCGGTAGAGTAAAATCAACGAAATCCGAATTTAACTGTAATGCGTGACGGGTAGACTTGTTGTAAACGGATTCTGAAGTTCAACTCTGGCGAGAGCGCCTCCAGTGGTACTCTGAGCGACGACAGATTTTTCCGATGGGTAACACACTACTCATAAGGTCGCTGAAAATACTTTGACATAACACGTTTTGGGTGGCTGTTTGAACAGTCGCCCTTCTGTCCCGACACAATTATTCTGGTGAGTTCACGCCAAAGCTCCGGACACGATTCTCGCTCCTATTAGAGTTCATCAACAGTGCGTGTCCTCGGGGTTCGAAAACTACTGCACTTGCACACGACAGAGGTATTTGCATGTCATGTTTGAACAGGGAGGCGAACGTGTTCAAGCTGGTTTTGCCCTACCCATCAAACGGTTTTATCGATCGGCTGACCCGCCTGCCAGGAGCTCCCAGTCTGGTAGCGCAAAGGACACTTGAAATCAGCTGAACAATTTTTGTGCGAGAGTCGTCACATACACTAGTGCGGCTGTTTCTATCGGTTATGATTTAAGCCATTAAAAGCTTCAGAAACATATCCGGTTATTCACGGCGGTAAAAGTCCAAGAGGCAAGCAACCTGCTGTATACAACACTACTTATAAGGACAATGAAAGCTTTGAATGAGTAATACTGAAATATACCACTCCAAATGAGAAGTAAGGTGACAATTTTGTGCGACATGCGTTCCTACACGTGATATTAGAATGGATTTCAGTCGCGGTCAACACCAAGTTAAGCTACAAATGAAGGGAAATCACGGAAGTTCAGCAGATGAGAACATGAGTCTCATGTGATGCAATTGGATCTTACGCTACTCACAAGTAGTACCAGCTTGAAGCAATGTACTCCTGCAAACATTTCAGCTCACCCAGGCAACCCAACTAGGAATGGCCTTTCCAGAAAATACAGTAGAGTTATCCCTAGGATTGGTCAGTATTCCCATGCGGCAACTTGAGGATGTGAAGCGATAACCGAGGTCCGACTGGTGTTCCGCTGTCAGACCATCCAAGATGGCGTTCGTGTCCGCATTCTAGATTGATAAGCCCAAACCCGAACGAAGTAGAGCACCTAAGTAGTTTATGTGTGTGCAGTTTCAGGCTTCTATACTCAGTTGCTCTGTGCCACGGTGATTGCATGGGGCGTGATGTGTTTTTCGCTAAACGCTAAAAGATGAAGTATACGTTCACGAGATACGGTCAGTAATGTCAGAATGAACCGCGGCAAAGGCCATGAAATTCCTCGGTAATACGTGATAGCTTGGAATATAATTCGACTAGAGTTTCAAAAGTGGTCGTACTAAGCAATGGATTTCCACAAATTGAATGACTGTCTTCGGGTGCCAAACTTGGATTTAGAGTTCCCTCAATGGTTGGGGGCGAGATGACCCAGTTGTTAGGGCGCGATCTTACCAACCGGAAGGTTCGTAGTTCCAACCCGATCCCCGCCTCTCGAATTCCCCTGTCTAGACTTAGTTAACCTGGCATTATCCCACCCCTCGATGGTAGACCACTGATTATGACACGCATTGCTGCTTAGTGGAAGTCGTCCCAAATAAGTACAATGAGAAACTCGATCAAAACTTATCAGTTTCATTCCTTACGATGTTGATTAGGTAGGTGAAATAAGACGAGAAAACCACATTGGTAAGTAGTGTCGATCGAGCTCTCATCTCACAGATAAATTGATAAGGAAAGTTTAGAATAGGCACTCATTGGCAAATTAAGCCAGTCATAATGGGAGACTCAACCGAATCCCAGCTGGATCTCTCAACTGAATTCGTTGCACAAAGCCGTCCGTCTCGTTG